TAGAGGCCCCAGGTTCGATTTCCAGCACTCACATGGTAGCTAACAACTGTCCATAGTTCCAGGGAATCAGACACTCTCTTTTGACCACGCGAGTACTGCACGACACGGGTGCACTTACATACATGCAGGCAATACACACGTACGCATAAAATAAATTAAAAAAAATTTTTTTTTGCTTAACACAGGATCTCGCCGAGCGTGGGAGCGCACGCCTTTAATCCCAGCATTTGGGAGGCAGAGGCAGGCGGATCTTTGTGAGTTCTAGGCCAGCCTGGTCTACATAGTGAGTTCCAGGACAGCTGGGGCTACAGGGAGATCCTGTCTCAAAAAAATAAAAATAAAGAGGACAGGCGCTCATGTAGCCCAGGCTGGCCGCTAGTTCACTATGTAGCCAAGGATGACCTTGAATTACTGCCTCCACCTCCCACATACTGACATTACAGTGTGTACCACCATGCCAGTTTATGCAGTGCTGGGGATTGAACCCAGGACTTCAATACATGTTAGATAATCGCTCTACACACATAGCTACACAGCTGAAAGAGGTTTATTCTGATGTTTGCCTAAAAGGGGCAGGCCCATGTGAAACGGGGAGAAAGAGGGTCCCCTAGAGGATTCTTAGTCTCATTCATAAAAGAATTTAAGACAGGACCCAAACAAATGCTTTTACAATTTTATTAGAATCTTAAAAATCCTCAGGGCAGGTGAGCTGGCAATCTTGGCAGCTGCCTTGAGAAGGTGAATAGTGGGAAGGAAAGAAAATTATGGAAGCCAAGCAGGTTTAGAGCCTGCATGGAGGTCAGACATGTGGCTGACTGGCAGCCACATGGCTGGGAGACGGAAGCTTTAGAGAAAAAGTGAAGAACTCTAAGATGCTAGGAGCAGCCCAAAGCCTTAGAGAAAGCATGTTAGTAAGAAAGGCATGAAGGAAAAATGACACCTTCCTGAAGAGTTCAGGAAAGCAGACAGATTTATAGAGACCTACATGACTGTGGCTGGTCCAGAAGGTCTGCAGAGATCTATGCTAGTTCCAGGCAGGAAATATTAGCTACCTCATTAATGTAGCAGGTATTTTGCTCATCTATTTAGCATAACTACTAGAAGTGGTCCTATCACCAGGTAATTGACCAGTGAGACTGGAAAAGTAGGTCCTCCAATAGATAGACTAGTGATTTTATAGACTTGGGCAGTTATGGGGCTCTAACTTATGGAGCTCTTTGGTACTTTAACACATGCACTGGGGTACTCAGGGATCCCAGGGAACCCACCGAGCCCATTGCTTTAGATAACGGTCTGGAAAATGGCGCCCAAGCCCCCAGGACAGACATAGCCAGGTCGCACAAGCATGGGGCTGCTTCAGGTGGGGAATGGTGAGGTGACACTGGGACTCTGTAGAATAAGTGACAGCGGGTGGAAGAGGCCTTCCCCACTTTCCCCTCTACATGGAGCTTCGGTGAGCAGAAGCAGGGATCCTTAGGAGGACCCCAGCCAAAACAGGTGCCCTGGCTTCCTCCCCAGTTATCCCAACTGGTCCAAACAGGTGTATTGCCCTGACACAAAATGGATCTGAGGGGCTTGTTCTCTCTTGCTTGTTTAGGGCAAGGATGAAATATGTTCAGTGGGGTCAATCTCCTCCACACAGTGATCTGAAGGCCAGCCAGGGCTACATAGTGAGAATTTTGAGACACTGTCTCAAAAATACCAGAAAAGGGGCTGGAGAGATGGCTCAGCAGTGAAGAGCATTTGTTGCTCTTGCAGGAGATCTAGGTTTTGTTCGCAATACCAACATAGCAATTTGATGCTCTAATTATAGGAGTTGTTGGATGCTCCTTGGCTGCCCTGGTTTCATTGAGCCGAAGGACTGTCAAAGAGCTGGCTGGACGCCCCGAATGCCAGCACCACTACACAGAAGCCTGGGGGACAATTACATAGATGGCAGCTGACTGCCAGTCCCTGAAGGTGCAGTGTTGGCTAGGCCTATTTGGAGCAGTTCACAACAGACTTTTGCTATCAGGAGCCTCAAGGAACTACAGATGACCCTGCAAATATTTCTACCTAGGCCAGAAGGGGCACATTTTCCCTGGTGGTCTAGCAGAGGGACTGGTGCTGAGGCAAGACTGTGATTGATTCAAAACACAAGTTTCAGGGCTGGAGAGATGGCACAGAGGTTAAGAATACCTGCTGCTCTTGCAGAGGACCTGAGTTCAGTTCCCAGCACCACATTAGGTGGCACATAACTGCCTATAACCCTAGCTCCAGGGGTTCCAGTGCTCTCTGCTGGATTGTGGGGGACACTGCACTCAAGTGCACAGACCCATACCCAGACACACACATATACACATAATTAAAAATAGGGTGCTGAATTAAAACACTGGGGCTAGAGAGATGGCTCAGCAGTTAAGAGCACTTGCTCTTGCAGAGGACCCAGATTCGGTTCCCAGCACTCATGTTGGGCAGCTCACAACTGCCTGTAACTCCAGTTCCAGGGGATGCAATGCTTCTAACCACAGGCACTCGAACAGTGTTCACATACTCCCACACTGACACACACATACACATGATTTCTTTAAGATTTTTTTTCCTATGTATATATTTGTGTGCCTGGTACCCCCAGAGTCCAGAAGAGAGCATCAAGATCCCCTGGAGCTAGAGTTACAGGCAACTGTGAGCTGCTTGATGTGGGTGCTATGAACTGAACCTGGGTCCTCTGCAAGACCAAGAGCTCTTAACTGCTGAGCCATCTCTCCAGCTCCACATATACACATAGTTTAAAAAAATAAAGAGATCTCTAATTAGGAAAGTGCCACAAGCTCTTCCCCTAAATGATAACATACATCCAAGAAGTTTGTACAAGAAAATTACAATAAACATTTATTAAGCTGTAATTTTCACAATGTTTTAATTCAGTTCTGAAATCAATCTACAAATGTCTCTAATACCAAAGCCAGTGATTAATAAATGAGGAATGTATTTATCACTTTGCAATAAAATATAAGCCTGATGCATTTTCTATAGAAGACATTTGTGGACTCAGCTTCCCAAGGTTCATGAACTAAAGCGCACGCGCATACATACCCCACTACGTTCACACCAAATGGCTTCCTATTGTATCAAACTAAATACTATATAAAAATTCATAAGTAGATACACAAATATAAACTCAACCAGGAAGATACTATTGATAAAAGGAATGTGATTTCCAGCTAAGAACAGGGAAATAATTACCTCAAGAGGTTTTAATTACATAATCACCGTCACAAGAAATCAATTCAATTACACAATATGTAGAGGTTTATCACACTTGGGGACAAGAAACTGGCACTACACAGTAAAAGCCTGAAATCTGCAGAGACATTGGGGCAGGTCAGTTATGCTACTGTCTACCACAGGTGTCTAGGAGATGGTGTGGATGACAATTTCTTGCATCACCAAGAGAGAAAAATGGATTCTCACAGGTGTCCTTCCTGTCAAGGAATCACCAAAGGAGCAAAAACACAGAAGGAAGTGACAGGCTGAAGCTTGCTGACACAACAGAACACATCACTGGCTGTCCAGTTGTTAAAGGTACTGTATTATATCACACAAAATATCTATAATTCTACGATTCACAGGTGAGGAGCCCAAAGTCCAACTACTCAAATGGCCATAAACAAAAACAATGCAGAATGATCATTAGGACATTTTGAAAAGCAGCTTGCATGTGGGGGGGGGGGCGCAGGTGTGTGTGTGTGTGTGTGTGTGTGTGTGTGTGTGTGTGTAATAGCTCATGTTCAGCCCGGGCTCCACCCCCAGGACCCGAAAATAAAAAAGGCTGGGAGGGGCAGGTGACACCTCAAGAGCCTTGGAAATTCCTGGTAACTAGAGGTGCACAATAAGAACTGCCTTTTAGAAACCGATTAGAAACCCACTGGGGAAGTAGTGAGTGGTCACCCCTTAGGGGTGATGCTATTTATCAAAGGGGACTAGCAAGGAATCCGTGCTGGCCTGAGATCCCAGCACTGAGGAAGCTGAGGCAGAAGGCTCAGGAGTTCAAAGGCAGCCTAGGCTAGAGAGCGGCCCAGTCTCAAAACATAGCAGCAAGGACACAGAAGAGCCACTTCAGGATGCCCACCAGCCTCAAGTTGCAGAAACTGTCTTTAGCTTCTCTACTGACTCTTGGACTTTTGTTTTTGAGATAAGGTCATGCTATGTAGCCTAGGCTAGCCTTGAACTCACCACCCTCCTACCTCAGCCACCAGAGTTCTAGGACTGTAAGTGTGTGTTACCACATCTGGGTTCCTGGACATTTTATTCCCAATCCCTCTGTGAGCATGCTGAGTCACAGGCCCAGGAGAGTGAGCAGAGCTACTCACACCAGCCCTACACAGCAGCCCCATTCATACCAGCCCTGCACAGCAGCCCCGTAGGCTACAAAAACAACCCTCACAAACATAAGCCCCACTTGCAAGGTTCTCATTCAGTACCCAGGAAGGATGTCACCTCCTGGCCACTTCTCTGGTGGTTACAAAGGCCATCCCAAGCCCACATCCCTGCTCATAACCCACGTGGCCTGCTGTGTCTTGTTTCTGAAGACATGTATTATAAACCTTCCAATGGCAGCCACCCCTCAAGGTTGCCCCTCAGTCACAAGGCCAGCTGTGAAGAAGTTCTAAGCTGCACTTTGTTACTGGAAGAGGTAGAGGGCCGAGGCTCACCACAAAAGGACCCAAAGGGCAGGAGATGTCCAAGGAGGTCACTGTAGAAACACTAACCCAAGTTTGGGGTGTGCTCAGTTGGTAGAGTACTCACCCAGCAAGCACCAGGCCCTGGGTTTGGTCCTTAGCACTGCATAAACCAAGCGTGGTGGTGCCTGTTCTAATCTCAGCACTCAGAGGTGGAGACAGAAGGAACAGGAGTCCAAGGTCAACCCCAATTGCATAGCCTGGTTGAGATCAACCCAGGCTATGTGAGATCCCTGTCTTAAAAAAACCAAAACACCACCAAAAATCTCTAACCCCAACACACTCACCTGAGCCCAGCACTTTAGTGATTAACTGATCCTGCCTCACCTTCTGTTCTTGGTAAAGTGAGTATTTCATATGAGAAACACTGGGAAATTAACACTGATTAAGATAGTTAAAACCCTGACCCTATTATTTTACATTTTAAAATTATACATGTATTTATTGTGGGGGGGGTACCATAGCCCATGTTCAGAGGTCAGAGGAAAACCTGTGGGAGTCGGTTCCCTCCTTCCACTATGTGAGTATCAGGGATTGGACTCAGGTTGACAGGCTTGGCAGTAAGTGCCTTTAACCCACTGAGCATCTTACTAGCCCCTGACCCTTAAACATATCAGATCCACAGTAGCTGCCATCAAAATGTTTCTCTACCACAATATTCAATGTATTGCTGCACACAGCCCTGAAGATAAGACATAAGATAAAATACAAAAATACATCTTTCTACATACAAAAGAGAGAATAGAGACAGTAGGGGGAGGCCCATATGCTGCACACTTACATGGACTGGAGATAGGAAAAAACAACAAACCTTAACTACTTGGGGTTAAGAACACATCCAAACAAGGTAAGATTTATGTAAACACCATTTGAAAATTTCAAACCTAACAAGAGACTTCTATTAGAGTTTCATGTAATATCTTACTTTGGTGTGACATCTGGGGGTATGGGTCAGTTGGTAGAGTGCTCTCCTAACATGGCATGAGGCCCTGGCTTCAACCCCAGCATTACACACATTGGGAGTGGTGCCACACGCCTGTCATCCAAGCATTCAGGAGGTGGAAGCGGGACGATCAGGGGAAGTTCAAGGCCAGTCTGGGATACATGAGAGCCCGTCTCAAAAAAAAATTAAGTCAAAAAAGTTAAAATGAAGGCATCTTGTACATGCATATATCAAACTATAAAATTGGTTTCAGAGTCAACACTTGGCCAGACTGGAAAAATAGTGCCTATTTTTACTCTCATTTTCAGTGGAGACTTGTGGTCTTAGTCCACCAGCACCCGGATACATGTGCCTCATCTGTTTACTACAAATTATATTGATAGCTAATCCTGTCTCTGGAGCCTACTGTTTCATGCAGGAGCCAGGGAAGAATGGAGTGTTTTGTTTTGTTTTGTTTGAGGGGAGGGTGTTCTTGTTACGAAGCCCTGGTTAGCCAAGAACTTGCTATGTAGACGAAGCTGGCCTAAAATTCATGATCCCTTTGCCTCTGTCCCCAGGACTGCAGGTGTGAATAACCACACTCAGCCACAGTGGATTGTCTAGACCCTGACCTTGGGTACCTGAGTGGCCACCTCAGTGGCCACCAGCAAAAGGAGCCAGGGTAGGGCTGGGGACTCAGCTTTACACAGAGCTCATCTCCCCCAGCTAACATTTGCAAAGCAATCTTCTGTTGCCAGAAGATATGGCCAGATATGTAGAAAGAGGACAATAACTATGCCCAGCCACTCACACCCTGAGCTAAAGTGGATTCTTTTACAGCATCTGAATGACATATACAGAATATCTCATGCCAGAAGGTATGTGTCTCAAATGCCAAGAGAGAATGCCCCGAGTGTGGGCTCTGGAAGCAAACCAAATACAGGAAGAGTTTGGTTCTCATTCCAGCTGCCTGGAACAGAAGTTTCAGATAATGCCCTCTGAAAGCTCTGCATGTGTGTTCCAGATCAATCAAAACAGCACTTCACAGACGCACCGCACCACAGTAGGCGTCAGCTAGGCTATTCCAGCAGGGTCCCCATCAGAGCTGATGGTGTTCCCACCAACCTGCTGATGGGACTGAATGGCTCCAGGGTACATTGGGAGGACCACAGAGATGGTGATGATCCAGGGAGCCTGCATGGCCACATCCTGCAACAGTCAGCTTCCTTTTCAGAGTCCAGCCTCTGGCCCACACTTTGTCCAGGCTCCCCCTGGCCCAACTCTCTGCCCTCAGAGACCACCTAAAATACCGATGCCCTGGACTGCAGACAAAAAGCACCTAACAGGTCATTGTAAAAGTTTTAGGAAAAACTATCTCCTCAAGGTCACTTATACCTAAGAATATTCTAGAAGCAACAGAATGAAAAATGTTACTAGCCATGAATGGTTTCTTTTTCTTCTGTGGTCCTAAGTCAATTAAAAACAAATTTAAAAAATAAGCAAAAACCATCAGGGTCCAACTTTCCTATACAGGCCTAGCTAGCAAACAGGGGAAGTGGACTCTGCTGGAGTCTGGAATGATCTCTAGGATCCACTCTTAGCGTCAAACCCCGACATTTTGTAGCCCTGTCCTTACACTTCCCTTCTGGAAATGCTGTAGGTTAAAATATATCAAATTACAGAAGGAAAAAAAGTCCAGTGCTTCTACAAGTATTTTCCTCCAGAACCACATATGTCTGGGTTCCATCCCCAGCACCACAAAACCAGAAATGGACATCAAGAAACACAACAGATGGGGGAGGGTGTTCATAGCGGCCCTAGGATCCGAAATAAGAGTTCCATGCCGAAGCCCAACTGCCCACAATGACAAGTGACAATATTCATTAAAGACAGGAACCCTAAGAGATATAAAATAAAGCTCAGTTTGGAAGTACAAAGGTAATGCGCATACACCTCACCCACCAGCCACTCCACTGCAAAAACAAACTTGGGCACTTGAAAACTTCCCTAAAAACGTCATGCTGGCATGTTCCTCCCTTCAGAGTTCTGATAAACTCAACTTAATCTGTCTTTATTTAAAAACCCTACAAAAGATGTATTTAAATGCTTGAAAAAAATCAACTTTATGTTCTATGCACAGATAAATTTCTGAATGTACAGCTAATATGGTTATATCCTTTGTTTAAAAAATATTCTTTCCCCACTAGCAACACTTTCACATTGTTCTACATAAGGGATCTCTTCCTTCTTCTTCAATGGGTCCCAAGGTTGGCGTGAGGCTGAAACAGCAGGCACCCCATTCGTGCTCATTTTATTGGGAGGGTTTGGGGTTCGGTGAGGAAGTTTGGGGTTTGGTAGAGTTGCTGTTTTCCCCTTTATCTGCCTTCTGAGATCGAAAGCTGGTGCCCGGGGACCCAGCCAGGCAGTTGACCTTCACTTGTCCTTGGAGCTGTCCAGGTTCTCCAACACCCTGTTGAGGCGGATGTTGAGCAGTCTCACCTGATTCTCCAGGTGTTCGAGCTTCTCCTCCACACTGGGGCTGACCGGGTTGCTGGGGCTGTTGCGCCAGTAGACACCCATGGGCCCCGTCATGAAGTAGATGGCCACTACGAGGCACAGCGGCAGCACTGCATGCTCTGGCTCACCTTCGTACTTATGGAGGATGTACACACAGGACATGGAAAACAGGGTGACTCTCACCAGCCAGAAGAAGCGACCAAACACCAGGTGCAGGAGGCTGAAGGTAAAACCCAAGGTCAGAGACAAGAACCAGTATGCCAACAGGACAACGCCGACCAGCACCAGGGCCCGGGTTGGGCTGCTAGACACGGAGGCTGGGCTGAAGTACTGCGACAGGTTGGACACTGTGAGACAGAAAGAGGACAGGGCCAGTTATTCCCACAGGGTCCTGCTCTCTGCAAGCAGGTGGAGCAGCTCAGCTCAAGGGCTGCACTCAAAGACCGCTCCACAACCCAAGGAACTAATGCAAGCCTTCCCTGAGCCAACAAACTAGCTGAGGAGGCATAGGCAATCCTTTGGGACTGCTTATGTCATGACTTTAAAATGCCTTTTGTATGTGTTCATATGTGGGTGTGGATATACATCTTGTGTGTGTGAGTATAGGTGTGCATGCACATGTGTGTAGGTGTATAGAGGCCAAAGGACAATCTCAGCTGTGATTCCTCAGATGTCTACCTTGTTTTTTGAGACAAGGTCTCACTCACTGGCCTGGAGCACACCAAGTAGACTAGGTTAGCTAGCCAGTGAGCCCCAGGGATCCACCTGTCTTTGCCTTCCCAGTGTTGGGATTACAATTACATACATCTCGAACTCATGTCCTTTACCAATCTTGTTCTCTCCTCAGCCCTTTTGAGCTGGGTCTGGCAACTCACACCTGTAATCCCAGCACTTGGGAAGCTGAGGCAGGATGATAAAGAGTTCAAGATCATCCTTGTCTACAAAGTGAATCTGACGTCAGCCTGAGCTATGTGAGACGCTGTATCAAAAACAAAACAGCAAAAAAAGAGCAAAACAAAAAATAAAATTAATTTCACCAAGTTCTTTTCACTTTAACATGACTATTAGAAACCTTCTGTGTGACTCAAATCCCATTTCTATTACACTGCTCTGGGCAAAAGAGTCTCCATCTTAACCTTCACCCCAAAAAACAATGAGGAAAGAACTTAGTCAACTGTGCTCAGAAACCTAGAGCCACCTCCGATTATGGCTTCTGGCAAAGCATTCCACACACTCTAGGTTCTGAACATGTGGCACAATTCCCAAAGGCCTTTGGGTACCCTGAAGCCTATCAAATCAAAGGGGAAAACCTACGACACAGAAGCAAGGTCTTTCATCTTCACTCCACACCAGCTGCTTTCAGCTGAATGCAAGCAGGGGCCCAAGGCTCCTCAGTGGTGCTTGACATCCTGTCTCTTTCTTGCTCTGCAGTTTTCGAGTCCAGGCTGCATGTAATTCCTTGTAATCAGGTTTGTCTCTGCAGGCTAGTGAGCCCAGGGATGGAAACCCAAACTTGCATAATCCTGGCACAGGTGACAGCTGGGGTAGCCTCACAGGATTGCACGCAGTTGCACTGTTTGGTGATGTGTTGACTCAGCCTGATCCCAGGGAGAACTGTTAGCAGTCCCCAAAGGCTGCAGGCTGCATAGCATCCTCTCAGAGGGTCACACTGCTCTCCAGGAGTCCTCCGCCTGAGCAGTGAGGCAGCACAACCTGGTCTGAGGCCTTTCAGAGCTTTAATTCATGATTCAAGGCTGGAAGCAGGTTTGGTGGCCAAGGGCTGACAACACTGTCAACATGAAGGCCCTACCTGTTCAGCTTGGGGTCAGAAGATCCAGCTCAAGTCCCTGAAAAGCAGGGACTGAGAGAGATTCTGAAAGGTTCCATGTTAGAGGGTTGAACCCATTTTCAGATTTCACCCTCTTGCAAGTTCAGAGGCCAGAAGTCTAAGATCTAGGTCCCCTTCAGGAAGCTTATGTTTGGTCTTCTGATTCCTCCCTATGCACCTTTTCCCTCTGCAGACTTTGATTCAGTCTTTGGTTGTGAGAAAGCACAGCTGGGAATGCACCTGTATGAGGGCTCTCCAGCACATACTTCCTGCCTCTCTCAGCTTCTCCAAGTGGTCCATGCATGGTCCATGACCTTCATCACTACAGGCTTTGCCTCCACCTATCTTCACCACCTTCTCTGTCTTTAGAGTCAGGTCCAAATTTCCCACTTATTTTTTTCCCACTTCTAACAAAGACAAGAGTCATTAAGTGCAGGGCCCACTCAAATCCAGGATCAAGGAATCCCAGTAACCAGAGCACCACAGAGTTTGCCTGGGGTGTCTGGAGTCACCATGACCCACTTGTACCTTCTTCAACATAGTACCCAAGAAATCACACATTCATGGACCACATGGTCATACAACTATTAAAGGTAAAAATGTTCCTTTCTAACCATGGGACCCCACCCCTCAGCCTTCTCATGTACCCTCCCCTGGAGGCATGGATACCCACTGTGCGAATCACTGTAGGAAAAAAATCAGTATCTAAGCCAGGCATGGTGGCACAAGCCTATTATTCAGCACTCAGAAGGCTGAAGCTAGAGGACCAAGAGTGAGGCCAGCCTGGGCTATACAGTGAGACAGTGTCAAACAAAAACCAAAATCAGCAACTCATTGTAGCCAACCCCCTTGTCCCTTAACGACAAAAGCACTCTGCTCATTAAGAGTTAACAGAGTTCTTTAGACTGTTGATGCGGAGGCTGGAGGAGGGGAGAATCTGGAAGTGGACCCATCAGACAACTGTTGCTGGAATACCAGGACAGGTCGTCTGCCCACCCTCTTTATGTTTCTGCATACATCAAAGAAGGTCTATTACTGGGCTAGTGCCATAGCCTTAGGTGCACTGTGCTGTTTCATCACCAATATGATGGGAGAATTCCTGTGTTTTGTACTGCTTGATCATACATAAACGTTGTGTCAACTTCAAATGCAATAGAGTCTCATGAGGGCAGTGAAAGCATTCTTGAGCTAACATATAAGCTAAGAGCCCCCTATTCTGATTTCAGTTTTTCAGGAATGGACACTGCAGCGGGCATCTACATCCCATAAACAATACCTTGTATGACTGTCTCCATACTTACCATCAAGTCCAAGGACATCCAAGAGTTCCATCCAAACTTTCCATAAAGCTTCCACCAACATATCCACTCCCTGCACAAACCGCTCAGTCAGCTTCATCACAAACTGCAGGAAGGAGAAAACAGTCAATAGGAAATTGGCCAACACACTGATGTCTTCCCAATCAGGTCAAGCAGAAAACTGTGGGCTCAAGAGCTGATATCTCAACAGAAAAATCAGGAGCTGCTGATACCTCATGAGCAGTCTACAGCCAGAAAATGAACATCAGCTTAGCATGAACTGACAGCCAGTTCACTACTATGTAGAATGGAGCAGTGTTACAGAAAAAATTGTTTATATAGCTAAGAGATCAAGCATTCATTTAGGGGCGAGTCGGAAAGTGTGTTTATTTTTTCCCATGCATGTGGTCCCTGAATTAGCAACAAAGGTTTCAAGGTTTTCTGGGTCCAAAACAGAAGCAGAAATGGGGGTTACATGGGCCTTTTTGCATTGTCATTTTATGACTGGCACCTGGGCCCTATGTCTCTTTTCATGATGGGCAATGTCATCTGAGGAAAAATTTCCTCCTGAGTTCACCCAGTTATACTTACAAAGTAGATAAGCCAGGCGTGGACAATGCTGCCTTTTGATCTACAGCTAGGTCAGGCTAATTGGGCTAGGAACAGGTCAAATCGTCACTGTAGTTTACATAAACAGATATCACTGGCAGGTATCTGTTTGATCTACATTTTTCTTAGACTAATTGGACCAGGTGCCTCATTAAATCATTTGGTAAACTTTCCATTTTCTTAGTTTGGCATTGTTATCAGTAGTTAGGCATAGTGAGTGGAAAACATCACAGAGCTTTAAGATATTACAGAGTAATAAAACATCTCAGGGTAGTGAAAACATCAGAGTAATGAAACCATCACTGAGTAGTAAAACATCTCGGGACTGCATTTCAAGATCTCTACCTAGTAAGTAGAACCAGAGGAAACGTCAAATGGCCTAAGCTTGAATACAGTACGATTATGAGAATAGAACTTTTCCTTAGCAGCAGCACACAACGCCTCGTTTATGAAGGGGAGACACATCTCTGAGAAGAGGGACAAGACCCACAAAGTGGCTACACTACACTTGCCATTTCTCCTATGGACTTTCCGCTGTTTCTTGGTAAAGGTGTCTGCTTCCTCTGCCTGGCCTCTCATTTTTTAATTTATCTTTAAATATTTTATTTATATGCATGAGTGTATTGCCTGCATGTTGTAAGTGCACCCATGTCATGCAATAACGGAGATCAATAGAGGGTGCTGAATGCCCTGGAATTGGAGTTATGGGCAGTTGTTAGAAGCCATGTGGGTGCTGGGAATTGAACCCAGGTCCTCTGCAAGAACAGTCAGTGCTCTTAACCTCTGAGCCATCTCTCTAGCCCCTGACCTCTCATTTTTAAAGACTTGCTAACCCCAACTTGCTTTACAGGGAAGCTGGCTCTCCAAGGAAGCAACTCTAAAGTTTGAGACCAGTTATCAAACTTGGGCCTTGAGGGTTCATTAGCTTTCTAGATGATTCCGAAGAGCCTGTGGGCCAGAAAAACAAGAATATGAGACACTGCCTGATTCACCTGTTCTTTGAATATGTGACGCTATGTACATCTTGCATGAGCTCTAAACCAGGGCTAGGATGTAAGGCATTTGGTCATGCTTGCCCAACATGCACAAACCCCTGGGCTCAAACCCCAGCACCATAAAAACTGGGTATGGTGGCACCCCCTGTAATCCCAGCACTGGGGAAGGAAGTGGAAGCAGGAGGATCAGGAGTTCAAGGTCATCGTCAGCTACACTGTTAAGTTCAGGGCCAGCCTAGGACATGTGAAACATTGTCTAAGAAGGAAGGAAAGGGGGGGGGCATGTAGTTCAGTGGTAGACAGATTGCTTGGCATGCATGAGGTCTTGGATTCATCTCTAGTATCCCCTTCAAGTACCTATTACTACAGTTTGAGTTGGGGGGAAGGCTTACAAAATATACAACACATCTCATATGCAAAATGCCAGAAGGGAACACAAAAAGAAAAATGGGGACAGCCTCCTCTCTGGTGGACACAGGGAGAGGGGACCCCAGGGAGCAAAACAGTGTAAATCAGAATCACAGCCAGGAAGACAATCCACAAAAACCCGCTCTGCAGCAGCACCCACCATCACAGTCCTCAGGGCTAGGTCCTGGACCACAGCCTCAGCATGACCACATTGAAAGTGCATCAGGATGCAGATTCCCAGCACCCCGCCCCCAGGCCTCCTGTACTGAGTGATCCAGGTTCCAAGCAGTGAATTGCAGCTGTTCTCAGCCTTCCAGCAGCTCTGACACATACTTAGGGCTAAGGACTATGAACACCCGCGAATGTCCACATAGAGTGCCAGTGTAGACCTGACTAGACTGAGGGACACCTAGAAAATAAGCATTCTTCTGGGTGTCTCTGTGAGGGCGTTTCTAGAGGTGATGGGCACGTGGGTCAGGAAACTGGGTGGAGAAAACACACCATGAACATGATGGCTCTATCCAATCAGCTACTGGCCAGGAGAGAGCCACCCATGGAGCAGCAGAGGAAGAGTGAACTTCGCACAGTAGTGTGTGCGTGTTTGCGCATGCACACACACACACAAACACATTCTCCAGTGTACATGGCCTTTTCTGCTGGGACCATCCAGGGGCTTCCAGGCTTCCACTTCAGACTGTGTCCCCTTGTTGCGAAGCTTCTAACACTGTGGACTAAACAGCTACGGGATCCCAGCTCTCCAGTCTACAGTGTGATGGTTAGCACTGTGACCTAACAGGCTCTAGAATACCTGAAGAGACTAGCCTCTGGTATGCTTGTAAGGGATCACTTAGATTTGGCTAACTGAGGTGGGAAGACCTCAGGCTGAGCCATCATTCACCTGCTTCCTGACTGTGGATGCAACATGACCAGCAGCCTCATGTTCCTGCCACCATGTCTTTCCTGTCTCGATAGGCTGAACCATAAAACTGTGAGTCAAAAGAAACCTTTCCTTCATTAAGTTGATTTTATCAGGTATTTTGCTACTGTAATGTGTAAAGTAACTGATAACAGCTTCTGATCCCTTTACCAATCAGCTGACTGGGGCTTTTGCTCCATAGCGTTAGAAACTGGGTGAGTGAGGAAAGTTCTGCAGGTGCTGCTCTTTGGCAGCTTTTATACCTTCAGTGTTTAATAGCAGCAGGCAGGCGCAGGAACAGGTGGCGCCCCCTAGTGCCACAGCTCTCACACATGCCTCTGATAAAAAGACCCTCAGCTCTCGTCCACCTATGCAAGCCCAGGACGTTGGGATTCCTCAGCCCTGGACAACAGCCAGTATTACAGTGCTCATCCTCTGGGGTGTCTTGTCTAAAGGCGCAGTAGTTCTTGGGGACTCTTCAGTGACCAAGGTCTGCAGTGCCTCTTCTCTGGTTCTTCACATTCCTTCAGCCTCAGCTCTCTGCCCATTTCTTGCCTTCTCTCCACGTCTGGGCTACTCTTCTTCGGACCTTGGCCATTCAAATCCCTCCAACTGTTCGGATGCCTCTTACTAGTACACCAGTGTCAACAGCTGGCACAGTTCAGGAGCAGATCCACCTCCTTCTATAGGCAAAGGGTGTTTGCACTAATCACAGCAGCCCTTCATATGCAAATGAAGGTTTGTGTTTGCACCAATCACAGCTGGTCTGTTTAGCCCCAATCACAGCAGTCCCTCTGCTAGGCCACCAGGGGAAGTGTTTCTCCCTGGCCTGGGAGGAAATGGTTGCAGTCATGTAGAGTTCCCTGAGGCTTGTGATAGCAAAGAACCCAGTGCAGACTGTTTGAAAGAGTCCTGGCAGGGGCTACGCCTGCAGGAGCTGTGATCACTATGTGGTTTCCTCAAAGCACCACAGAATGTTCAGGATGGCTGGTGCTGGCCTAATGGTAGTCAGATTGGTTTAATGACTGACAGACCTTTTGCTCAAGGCAGCCTGGGTAGCCAGGGAGTGTCCAGCAGCTGCCAATTAGGGAGTCATCATCCCCACATCTTTGCTTATCTACAAGAGATTGAGCATCAGAAGGGAAACTTAAGAGAACTGGTCAGGAAGAGATTTTTAGACTGTAATGATGCTTTAACAGTATTTAACACTTGCTCTTGCTCAGTGCCCCAGGGAAAGGGCCCCAATCTGTCTCAGTCACCTGAGCTGATCAGATAAATCCCCCTGTATCATTCTTTTCCTCTGGAGAATCCTGACTTACAAAAACCCAGACATGTGTGACAGAGACACAGGAGGGGAATGCTATTTCACAACCGCAAGAAGAGTGAGTCTTGTTTTGAAATAGGGCACCTTCTTGACCATAGCTACACCATGTTAAAGTTTAGGCTGACTCTAATCTCTGAAATTATCAGGCTCAGGGTATGGGAACACATATCAATTAGACCCTGGTTATCTTGGAAACAGGTCAGAGTGTCCTGGAGCGCACCTGCTATCTGCTGATTTATGGCTTCTGTAGGTTATACTTGGCTTGCTTCTGCAAAATAGTAATTGTTGCTTATTAGAATAGAAATTGTTAAGGGGGCTATCCAACTATAAGCCTGGGAACTTAAACCTTTCATCCCTGGTTATGGTTTCTCTGTATAAAAACTTACCCTAGAGATGGCTCCGGGCTACACACTTGTAGTAGCCCTAGCCAGTAACAACTTTCATTCGGCAAAACTTTGTCTTAGTGGTCTTCTCTGGTGAAGCACCTCACAACAGTTTTCATCAGCAGCAGAGAGAAAGATGAATGAAAGATAAATGACAGGAAAAAAGGGTAAGCATTATACCCATGTATAAAGTTCAAAAACTGGTAGCCAGGTGTGGTGGCGCAAGCCTTTAATCCCAGCACTTGGGAGGCAGAGGCAAGTAGATCACTTTGAGTTCAAGGCCAGCCTGGTCTACATAACAAGTTCCAGGCCAGCTGAGGCTACAGGGAGACCTTGTCTCAAACAGCCAAAAAAAAAAAAGTTCAAAAACTAGTGAAACAGGGTTCCATCCTCAATACAAAAAAAAAAAAAAGGACAGAAGGAAGGACAAAGAAGGAACCAACAAACACAGGCACAGACACATGGTTGGAA